TTTTGTGGACGGAAAGGAAATATTGTATTTGTTGCTTGCATAAGGTTGTCATGGTAATTTGTTTAAAGAACAGGTTTAAATAACATGTTTGAATCAGTTAAATCATGACTCAAAACAAATTTCGGGAGGACTGTTTTCATACTTCCAGGTGCAAATACACCTCGCGTCTTCACTGATTTTGAGTAGGCCATTAGCATATTTTGAACCACTATTCTGCCCTTTACGCCATGTGGAAGATGTTCCGTGGGGTCCCCGAGACTGGCGGCGACGTTTTATGATGTAAGTCACATACAGGTTTTAGAAATTCAATAAACATGTTCACACTACATTCTTTAAGCGATATTTAGATGTTGGTAATTAAGATAAAAAAAGGCCATACTTGGTGAAACCTCTCGTTGTACTTTAAATGTATCTAGTAAAATACGATTTATGAAATATTGATTAACGTTATAAAGGATGGATTAAATACATGTAAGGGCAGCTGTGTGTCTGCAGGAAGGAATTTACGACAAAAATGTGGATATGCTTTCGTGTAGATTTCAACAGAGGTTTGAAAAGAAGAGACTTAATGCCTCTCTAACCACCCTGGGATCAACTGTTACATGACACCCCCCACCCCCCACCCCTCACCAATTTGGGACCTACTGGTGCATGCCCTCCCCAACACCTTGGGACCAACTAGTACATGTCTCTCTCACCACCTTGGGACCAACTGGTACATGCCCTCCTCACCACCCTGGGACCAACTAGTACATGTCCTCCTCAAAACATTGGGACATACTGCTACATGCCTCACCCACCACCTTGGGACCAACTGCTACATGCCTCATCCACCACCTTGGGACCTACTGCTACATGCCTCACCCACCACCTTGGGACCTACTGGCACATGCCTCCTTCTCCACCTTGGGACCTACTGCTACTGGCCTCACCCACCACTTTGGGACCTACTGCTACATGCCTCACCACCCCCTTGGGACCTACTGGCACATGCCTCCCTCACCACCTTGGGACCTACTGCTACATGCCTCACCCATCACATTCGGGACCTACTGGTACATGCCCCCCCCCCCCCCCCCCCCCCCCACCATATTCGGGACCTAGCGGTACTTGCCTCCCCCACCACCTTGGAACCTACTGGTACACGCCCCCTCACCAACTTCGGACCTAGTGCTACATGCCTCACCCACCACATTCAGGACATACTGGTACATGCCTCCCCCCACCATATTCGGGACCTAGTGGTACATGCCTCCCCCACCACCTTGGAACCTACTGGTACACGCCCCCTCACCACCTTGGGATCTACTGCTGCATGCCTCACCCACCACATTCGGGACCTACTGGTACACGCCTCCTCACCACCTTGGGACCTCCTGGTGCATGTCCCCCTCACCACCTTGGGACCTCCTGGTGCATGCCCCCTCACCACCTTGGGACCTCCTGGTGCATGCCCTCTCACCACTTTGGGACCTCCTGGTGCATGCCCCCCTCACCACCTTGGGACCAAATGGTGCGTGCCCTCCTCACCACCCTGGAACCTATTGGTACATGCGTCTGTCACCACCTTGGGATCAACTGGTACATGCCCCCCTCACCAATATTGAACTAACTGGTACATGACCCCTAACCAATTTGGGACCTACTGGTACATGCGTCCCTAACCACCTTGGGACCTGCTTGTACATGCCCTCCTCACCACCGTGGGACCTACTGGTGCATGTCTCCCTCACCACCTTGGTATCTACTGGTATATGCCTCCCTTTCTACCTTGGTATATACTGGTACATGCCTGCCTCACCACCTTGGAACCTATTGGTACATGCGTCTGTCACCACCCTGGGATCAACTGGTATATGCTTCCCTCACCACCCTGGTATCTACTGGTATATATCTCCCTCACCACCTTGAGACCATCTAGTACATGCCCCCCTCACCACCTTGGTATCTACTGGTACATGCCCCCTCACCACCTTGGTATCTGCTGTTATATGCCTCCCCCACCACATTCAGGACCTAGTGGTACATGCCTCCCTCACCACCTTGGAACCTACTGGTGCAAGCCCTCCTTACCACCTTAGAAGCAACTGGAACATGCCTCTCTCACCACCTTGGTATCTACTTGTACATGTCCCCCTCACCATCTTGGTATCTACTGGTACATGCCTCCCTCACCACCTTGGGACCAACTGGTACATGTCTCCCTCACCACCTTGGGACCTACTGGTACATGCGTCCCTAACCACCTTGGTATCTACTGGTTCATGTCCCCCTCACCATCTTGGTATCTACTGGTACATGCCTCCCTTTCTACCTTGGTATATACTGGTATATGCCCCCCTCACCACCTTGGTATCTACTGGTATATGCCTCCCTTTCTACCTCGGTATATACTGGTATATGCTTCCCTTTCTACCTTGGTATATACTGGTGCATGCCCTCCTCACCACCTTGGAACCTTTTGGTACATGCGTCTGTCACCACCTTGGGATCAACTGGTACATGCCCTCGTCACCACCCTAGGACTTACTGCTACACGTCTCTCTCATCATCTTTGTATCTACTGGTACATGCCTAACTCACCACCTTGGTATCTACTGGTACATGCCTCCCTCACCACCCTGGTACCTACTGGTATATGCTTCTCTGACCATCCTGGTATCTACTGGTATATGCTTCCCTCACCACCTTGGTATTTACGGGTATATTCCCCCCCGTCACCACCTTGGTATCAACTGGTACATGCCCCCCTCACCAATATTGAACTAACTGGTACATGACCCCTAACCAATTTGGGACCTACTGGTACATGCGTCCCTAACCACCTTGGGACCTACTTGTACATGCCCTCCTCACCACCGTGGGACCTACTGGTGCATGTTCTCTCACCACCTTGGTATCTACTGATACATGCCCCCTTCACCACCTTGGTATCTACTGGTATATGCCTCCCTTTCTACCTTGGTATATACTGGTACATGCCTGCCTCACCACCTTGGGACCAAATGGTGCATGCCCTCCTCACCACCTTGGAACCTATTGGTACATGCGTCTGTCACCACCTTGGGATCAACTGGTACATGCCCCCCTCACCACCCTAGGACTTACTGGTGCATGTCTCCCTCACCACCTTGAGACCTACTTGTACACGCCTCTCTCATCATCTGTGTATCTACTGGTACATGCCTAACTCACCACCTTGGTATCTACTGGTATATGCTTCTCTGACCATCCTGGTATCTACTGGTACATGCCTCCATCACCACCTTGGTATTTACTGGTATATGCTTCCCTCACCACCCTGGTATCTACTGGTATATGCTTGCCTCACCACCTTGGTATCTACTGGTACATACCTGCCTCACCACCCTGGTATTTACTAGTACATGCCCCCCCCACACACACACACCACCTTGGTACCTACTGGTATATGCCCTGCCTTCACCACCTTGGTATCTACTGGTATATGCTTCTCTGACCATCCTGGTATCTACTGGTACATGCCTCCATCACCACCTTGGTATTTACTGGTATATGCTTCCCTCACCACCCTGGTATCTACTGGTATATGCTTGCCTCACCACCTTGGTATCTACTGGTACATACCTGCCTCACCACCCTGGTATTTACTAGTACATGCCCCCCCCACACACACACACCACCTTGGTACCTACTGGTATATGCCCTGCCTTCACCACCTTGGTATCTACTGGTATATGCTTCTCTGACCATCCTGGTATCTACTGGTACATGCCTCCATCACCACCTTGGTATTTACTGGTATATGCTTCCCTCACCACCCTGGTATCTACTGGTATATGCTTGCCTCACCACCTTGGTATCTACTGGTACATACCTGCCTCACCACCCTGGTATTTACTAGTACATGCCCCACACACACACACACACCACCTTGGTACCTACTGGTATATGCCCTGCCTTCACCACCTTGGTATCTATTGGTAAATGCCTGCCTCACCACCCTGGTATCTACTGGTATATGCCCCCCTCACCACCCAGGTATATACTGGTATATGCACCCCCCCCCACCCCCCCACCCCCCCCCCCCCCCCCCCCCCCCCCCCCCCCCCCCCCCCCCTCACACACACACACACACACACCCACCCCATCACCATCTTGGTATCTACTGGTATATGCCTGCCTCACCACCTTGGTATCTACTGGTACATGCTCCCCTGACCACCTTGGAACCTACTGGTACATGCCCGTCTCACCACCTTAGGACCTACTGGTGCATGTTTCCCTCACCACCTTTGGACCTACTGGTACACGTCTCTCTCATCATCTTTGTATCTACTGGTCCATGCCTCCCTCACCACCTTTGTATCCACTAGTACATGTCTCCCTCACCACCTTGGTATCTACTGGCACATGCCCGCCTTACCACCTTAGGACTAACTGGTACATACCTCTCTCATCATTTTGGGACAAACTGGTACATACCTCTCTCATCATCTTGGGACCAACTGGTACATACCTCTCTCATCATCTTGGGACCAACTGGTACATACCTCTCTCATCATTTTGGGACCAACTGGTACATGCCTCTCTCATCATCTTGGGACCAACTGGTACATACCTCTCCCATCATCTTGGTACCAACTGGTACATACCTCTCTCATCATCTTGGGACCAACTGGTACATACCTCTCTCATCATATTGGGACCAACTGGTACATGCCTTTCTCATCATCTTGGGACCAACTGGTACATACCATCTTGGGACCAACTGGTACATACCTCTCTCATCATCTTGGGACCAAATGGTACATACCTCTCTCATCATCTTGGGACCAACTGGTACATGCCTCTCTCATCGTCTTGGCGTGCAGATAAACAGGTTACATATACTGCCTTCAGATCGCACAGTCATATACATGGTACGTTTTCATCGGGTATCCTCTATGTCTCGTTTACTCAAACATCTGGGGATAGCAATGCGATTCTCGAAGCTCTCTAACCAATACAACAAACCAGTGTTACATTTGAATAATTTAATCAACATCTGACATCACATGATCAAAACAGAAGTGAAAGTACAGGAAGGACACAACTAGCCACAGATCGACTTACGACCTTGAACCTAATACAGTTAGATGTGTGGTCGTCCATGTTCTACTGAAACATAAACTGTCCATGTTGAATCATGATGTCATGTACTGGTGTGTATAGATGGAAGTGTCTCCCGTGAGAACTGAAATATAAATGTGTTTGCCAGTAGGCAGAGAACGGAATCCACTGCAATCAGCTGCTGTTGTTTTATCCGACCTCGTTGTCTCAGTTTATTTGTTTTTATCAAAAAGCAAAAGTGTTGTTCAATAGAGTAGACTGTCTTTGTGATGAAGCGTATTTCGCAATGCATATCAGTCGCCAGTGACGGCCGTCATTAGACGTTGTTAATCACACGACCGCCGTGTTCCGACATGTTTCACAGGGCGTATAAATCTTAGTTGAATGACGACCGTTAACCAATATTAGATCTCCGGTTTACATTCAGTGAATCTTGATGTGGTTGATTGATGGGCATTTTGAACTGTTTTCAATGCTTATTGTTCTAGTTTTACCCAGAATATTGAGAACTTGCCCCGAAGTCGTTAATCTTCGTCAAGCTCGACTCTCTTTGCAATATATTACAACAAAACGCTACATACCTAATAGTACATCCAACTTTGTAATAACGAATGTCAAATTAAGAACATTATCGGTGAGCAGTCCTAGAGAATCACAGAGTCTAGACGGGGCCTACTTATATGACCAGAAGGCTGACAGCACGGTTTCCAGAGCTGCTCACACACAGGCACAGACGGAGATATAAAGTCATTCAGTATGTCAGTAATAGTCAAATATTGGTCTGTCATTGATGTATCGGTTTAATTTCAAAATATAGCAAACGCTTCCTATTGGCAGCTATCTACGATGTGTTTTCCGATTGAGATTACTATCTGGAGTTATCCTGTGAAGAGGAATGATTGTTGTAAAGGAATTACCCAACGGCATCATGTTCTTCATTTGGTGAGAATAGAGAAACTTTGTGTTACAGTTAACATTAGCCACCGTAGTAATGAGAGTAACTTTGTGTTACATTTAACTAAACCATCGCGCAATGAGAGCAACGCTTTGTTACAGTTAACTTAACCAGTGTCGTAATGAGAGCAACGCTTTGTTACAGTAAACTTAACCAGTGTCGTAATGAGAGCAACGCTTTGTTACAGTTAACTTAACCAGTGTCGTAATGAGAGTAACTCTTTGTTACAGTAAACTTAACCAGTGTCGTAATGAGAGCAACGCTTTGTTACAGTAAACTTAACCAGTGTCGTAATGAGAGCAACGCTTTGTTACAGTTAACTTAACCAGTGTGATAATGAGAGCAACGCTTTGTTACAGTAAACTTAACCAGTGTCGTAATGAGAGCAACGCTTTGTTACAGTTAACTTAACCAGTGTGATAATGAGAGCAACGCTTTGTAACAGTAAACTTAACCAGTGTCGTAATGAGAGCAACGCTTTGTTACAGTAAACTTAACCAGTGTTATAATGAGAGCAACGCTTTGTTACAGTAAACTTAACCAGTGTCGTAATGAGAGCAACGCTTTGTTACAGTTAACTTAACCAGTGTCGTAATGAGAGCAACGCTTTGTTACAGTAAACTTAACCAGTGTCGTAATGAGAGCAACGCTTTGTTACAGTTAACTTAACCAGTGTCGTAATGAGAGTAACTCTTTGTTACAGTAAACTTAACCAGTGTCGTAATGAGAGCAACATTGTATGATGGTAACTTAAGCAGCGCCGTAATGAGAGCAACTTTGTATTACAGTTAACTTAACCATTGCCGTTATGAGAGCAACCCTTTGTTACAGTTAACCCAACCAGCATCGTTATGAGAGAAACTTTGTATTTCAGTTAAATTAATTCACCGTAGTATTGAAAATAGTTTTGTGTTACAGTTAACTAAACCAGCGCCGTAATGACGGCAACTCTTTGTTAATGTTAACTTAACCAGCGCCTTAATGAGAGCAACTTTGTATTACAGTTAACTTAACCAGCGCCGTAATGAGAGCAACTCTTTGTTACAGTTAACCTAACCAGCATCGTTATGAGATCAACTTTGTGTTACAGTTAACTTTAGCCACCGTAGTAATGAGAGCAACTTTGTACTACAGTTAACTTTAGCCACCGTAGTAATGATAGCAACTTTGTATTACAGTTAACTTTAGCCACCGTAGTAATGATAGCAACTTTGTATTACAGTTAACTTTAGCCACCGTAGTAATGAGAGCAACTTTGTAATACAGTTAACCTAACCAGCAACGTTATGAGAGCAACGTTGTATTACAGTTAAATTTAGCCAGGGTAGCAATGAGAGCAACTTTGTTTTACAGTTAACGTAACTATCGTCGTAATGCGAGCAACCTCTTGTTACAGTTAACGTAACCAGCATCGTTATGAGAGCAAATTTATGTTACGGTTAACTTAACCAGTGTCGTTATGAGAGCAACTTTGTGTTACAGTTAACTCTAGCCATCGTACTAATGAAAGTAACTTTGTGTTACAGTTAACAAAACCAGTGTCGTAATGAAAGTAACTTTGTGTTACAGTTAACTTAACCACCGTCGTAATGAGAGCAACTCTTTGGTAATGTTAACTTAACCAGTGTAGAAATGAGAGAGGAGAATGTTTTGTGTAATTAGTTTCTGTGTTTACTTTGTGGCATTACGTGTGTGAAATGAGTTATAGATCACAGGGAATCCTGTCGACAAACTACAAAAAAAGACTAAAAGGAAACGTAATTTACAATGAATAAATCCGGTCTAGGTGTTCACAACGTTATACACGCTAATGGGCAAACACTGTTTAGGGGTCGTTTCAACATCTCTGGAAGGCAGAAATAAGTTTAGAAGAATATAATAATCAACAACGCTCTACATATATACACACATATCATAACTGTACACTGTGTTTCTCTATATACATATCATTGACATGACAAAAATATAAATTTCTGAAATGGATATTAATATACACAAAGAAGGTTCGTCTAAACCTAGTTGATGCAGTTCCAGAAGATGTTTACACAGTGGTCCATTAGCGTGTATACCGGCCCACCACTGTAACGCACCTGTACCGCAATAGGTCATAAAAATACTGTCATGTCCAGCAAAGACACATATGTGCATGGTAACGAGGGGAGTACGATACATGAATGTACACGGAAGTAGCTGACGCAGCACTTTGAAAAGAAGCACACTACCTCCCACATTGCGGATCACAAAGTGCCTTAAGCACTACATCTTTACTTCCTGGCTTCCGGTGAGGACACATATATTCACCCATATATACAAGTACAGCATCGCGTGGAGTATAAATTACCATGCATCTTCTGAGACCAATATGGCCAGCAATCACATGGTCACTTACGTGGAAGTCATCATCAGACATCAACATTGTCACATGTATTCTGACAGAAGGACCATGTGCACCAATCCAGCGAATGTGGGTTACTGTATTAATGCTAAGCCTTCATTCATAGTCCATAGCAGGTGCCTGTCCAGTCCAACTGTCCACGCACTGCGGAGAACACAAGATCCTTCCTGTCGCTAGAGTAGGAGTGTTTTTATCACAAGGCTTTAATCCATTTAAAATCCATTCTTCCTCCCGTTTTCTCATTCATTACAACTGTCCAACTAGTAGCTGATGGCCTTCCTGTCTAACGTCTTTCAGTTTTTAAACTACCTGCAGCAGGACGCGGAACACACGCAACTTGGCAATTAGTCCTGAACACAATCACTCATTTTAATGGTTTCGAATCCAAATACTACACTTAATTCACACAATAGTCCTCGAAATGTTGCTTGTTCACTCAAGCACCATCTTCATGACTTACTGGAACCAGAGTTTTCATTATTTTGCTGTACGTTGTTATTTTTGTTGTTGTTTTTAGCTTCAGACAGACGCCGGTACTGGGACTCGTCCATTTCTGTCTGAAGCTTCTTGGGGTTTTTTGTCCGGCAGCAGAGATGTGCGAAGCTCTGTCGGAACACTTTGTTAAATAAGCAGTAGATGACGAAGTTGACCGCGGCGTTCAGGGCCAAAAGCGTATCTGTGAACTCTCGTATTCCTTTGACGAGAGGTCCCGCTTCGTGGTAGCCAAAACCAAAAACAGTAGACATAATGGCGTCTGGCGTTATACACACCATGAACACCACTATAACCATAATCATCATCACCGTGACGCGATGACGCGAGGAGTTACGTTTGTTGGCACGGGTTTTCCGTAACGCGCCAATAATGCAAGCATTCAAGGCCACTAGCACGAGGAGGGGGATGATAGATCGTAGGAGGTTCTGGGCCCACGTGTAGGCCGACACAAATACTTGGTTGTGATAAAGTTCTGTAAGCTCGACTTCTAGCATGGATTCATTCAAGGACTGGTCGTAACACCACTTGGTCCGATAACGGAAGGCAGATGGAAGAGCGACGACCGTCATGATAATGTAGACAACGACGCAGGTGACGACAGCGCGGTATCGGCTGCACAACGCCCTGGCTCGTGTTGGGTGACACACTAGGATGTACCTCTCCACAGCCACTGACACCGTCAGCCATGACGATACACAGACAGACATATTGAAAATGAAATGCGCGTAAGGATATAGATATCCATACGCCCTGTTGCCCATGACGTCATCGGTCTTGAGGAATATATTCACCAACACGTATAATATATCATTTATCAGCTTGATAGCGTCAGATATTGCCAAAGCACTCAAGAAAGCATTAGTCGATGTCAGCATGTTCCGCTTTGTCAGCACGATGACGGTGAGGATGTTTCCCAGGAGGCCGGGTATGCATACCGCCGGGTACAAGATAAGTCCAGTGATCAGACGAGCGATTCGGAAGAATTCCTGATTTGTCGTATCCGGTTCCTCCTCCACTTGGCAGAACCCGGATGAATTGTCATTCGTTCCATTTCCGGGATCAGACGTAAAGTTGAGAACATGGCTCACATTCTGCCAGATCGCGTCTGTAAATTCCATTCCGCCGTCCGCCATAACCACACCCAAATGACTCTCCGGCACAGTAGGGTTACCACATTTTCTCAGGCCACTCAAGACAGACAATTAATCATTTCTGGGGTCTCTATCCCAACGGGTTATGCTTCAGGCCGAGTTCCCTCGCCGGCAAAACATATGTTTACACGTGTTCATGTGTGTTGATTGAAACCGTCGGGGCGGTGCACTGGGCATCCATCTGAGGCCGCATCACTTCAAGTCCTGGTTCTGTGCCTGAAACACGGATGGCACAGTATTAACATAACCTTACGGGAATTTTACATCATTAGTGGGAAACATTCACCATCTGTTTTAGTTGACCCGTTAACATCGCATCTCTCTATGAATAAAACATACTATCACACATATATCAACATAAATGGAACCGACGTTGGCCTGTAGGTATGCAAGCCTTGGTGTTCTAGCACGATGGGCAGAACTGAAATCGAACACCAGATATTCACGGATGGAATGAGTCCACTTTTCTACCATATCGAACTATGAGTTGACCTGCAATTGTTACGCTAACAATGTGTTCTGTCCTCAGCGTGCCTCTACACAATAGGAATTGTGTCAAAAGGAAGAACCTAACCCATTTACAAAAAGCGTATCAGTTGTAGGTCAGCCGGTCTGAGATATCCAACAGTATACAGGAATCAAATAAACAAAACCGAAGTTTCATTCGTACTCGTATCCCGACGAATTAAGTAAAAGTCTTCACTCGCGTATTTTTGTATTGAATTAAGCTCCGACGTTCATACTGTTTGGCCCTCACTCTATGAAGTTTCATACTCCAGTGAACTCCCACAAGTGTATGTCAGTTCTCATATTCATGTTTATATTCCCTTTTTGTAGTACCTTATAGACTGCAATACTGCTGACTGTCACTTGCAGTCTATATATACTCACAGCCAAAAGACAGGCGAACCATACAGTCATATTGAGAAGTATGTACGTTGAGAAGAGATGTTTCAAACGCGTACCACTTAATGACAAAACTAACAGTCAGTCAAGTGTAACCACAGTGTCTTTATTATTATCACGATATGCTGCACGTGACTTCCAAACTTTAAACACTAATTATGCAAATGGTGCATCTCCAGTCACGGATCTTTCACGTCAAATGTGATTCACACAACAAACAGGTATGTTCTTTTGTGTATGAACCAATCTAATATCTCTTGCATATGAGTAAGTGTTCATATATTAACCAACATGTATGGTATTCGCGTTTCTTTTGTCGGTGAGTTAAATGCATGTATCCAGTTAATACACTGGGTGTGCATTTCGTCGTTTTCTTCACAAAGACTAGTTCCAGTGTAGGCAAAAACAAGGCTTCTGTATTATATTCTTGCTGGGGTATTAACAGGGGTTTTACTGGGAATGTGGAAGTCGTCTGTCAGTGTCATTCACGAATACTCCTGATAAAAAATATGAACGTGAAAAAGTCAGTTTCGCGGTCAGGTATCCGGCCTCTCGTTTGAATACATGACATTAAAAAATATAGAATGATAAATGGTGACACTAAATAATAAATCTTAACACTAAATTATGAGAATTTTGTGTCCATACGCTCAAACACTAGTGCAGTCAGGAGCCGTCGGCACCAGCTCAATCTCCTGCACAACAGGACAACTTCCTGCACAACACGACTCCCTGAACAACACGACAGCTTCATGGACGACAGGACGAACTCGTGAACACAAGAAGAATCTCCTGAACACAAGAAGAATCTCCTAAACACATGAACAATCTCCGGAACACAGGAACAACCGGACATGATGACCATCATGCCTAATTTATGCGGTTAGACAGGCTTCAAAGTGCAGATGGATTGAATGGATAACTTAATATGAAATAAAATGTCTGTTTGTGACATAAAAAGTATTTGAGTTAGTAACGTTCCATAAATATCATCGATACACTAACTAGTAAGTTGTTCATAATAAAATTTTGTCTCAAAAGTAATTAAGATGGTTGTTTCCCTTTGGGAGGCACATATTGCATCAACTTCCTGGAGGGCCAGCTTGCGCGGTAGGAAGATGCCCAGAACTCAAGGTTACGGACTGTTGGTTACAACGGTAGAATGTAAGTTTAAATCGGGAGACTGTTGGTTACAAGCGGTAGAATGTTGGTTACAAGCGGGAGACTGTTGGTTACAAGCGGGAGACTGTTGGTTACAAGTGGTAGAATGTTGGTTACAAGCGGGAGACTGTTGGTTACAAGTGGTAAAATGTTACTTACAAGCGGTAGACTGTTGGTTACAAGCGAGAGACTGTTGGTTACAGGCTGTAGAATGTAAGTTTAAATCGGGAGATTGTTGGTTACAAGCGGGAGACTGTTGGTTACAAGGGTGGAATGTTGGTTTCAAGCGGGAGCCTGTTGGTTACAAGCTGTAGAATGTAAGTTTAAATCGGGAGATTGTTGGTTACAAGTGGCACAGACTGTTGGTTACAAGGGTAGAATGTTAGTTACAAGCGAGAGACGGTTGGTTACAAGCTGTAGAATGTAAGTTTAAATCGAGAGATTGTTGGTTACAAGCGGGAGACTGTTGGTTACAAGGGTAGAATGTTGGTTTCAAGCGGGAGCCTGTTGGTTACAAGTGGTAGAATGTTGGTTGCAAGCGGGTGACTGTTGGTTACAAGCGGTAGACTGTTGGTTACAAGTGGTAGAATGTTGGTTTCAAGCGGGAGCCTGTTGGTTACAAGTGGTAGAATGTTGGTTGCAAGCGGGTGACTGTTGGTTACAAGCGGTAGACTGTTGGTTACAAGGGTAGAATGTTGGTTACAAGCGGGAGACTGTTGGTTACAAGTGGTAGAATGTTACTTACAAGCGGTAGACTGTTGGTTACACGCTGTAGAATGTAGGTTACAAGCGGGAGACTGTTGGTTACAAGTGGCACAGACTATTGGTTACAAGCGGTAGAATGTTAGTTACAAGCGAGATACTGTTGGTTACAAGCGGTAGAATGTTAGTTACAAGCGAGAGACTGTTGGTTACAAGCGGTAGGATGTAGGTTACAAGCAGAAAACTGTTGGTTACAAGGGTAGAATGTTGGTTTCAAGCGGGAGCCTGTTGGTTACAAGTGTTAGAATGTTTGGTTGCAAGCGGGTGACTGTTGGTAACAAGCGGTAGACTGTTGGTTAAAAGCGGGAGACTGTTGGTTACCATCGGCAGAATGTCAGTTACAAGCGGTAGACTGTCGGTTACAAGCGGTATAATTTAGGTTACATGCGGAAGACTTTTGGTTACAACGGTAGAATGTTGGTAGCAAGCGGGACAGTGTTGGTTACAAGTGGTAGAATGTAGGTTACAGGCGGGAGACTGTTGGTTACAAGCTGTACAATGTTGGATACAAGAGGGAAACTGTTGGCTACAAGTGGTAGAATGTTAATAACAAGAGGTAGAATGTTGGTTACAAGAGGTAGATTGTAGGTTACAAGCGGTAGAATGTTGGTTACAACGATACAATGTTGGCTACAAGAGGGAGACTGTTGGTTGCAACGGTACAATGTTGGTTACAAGCGATACCATGTTGGTTACAACGGTAGAATGTTGGTCGCAACGGCACAATGTTGGTTACCTGCGGTAGAATGTTGGTTACAACGGTTGAATGTTAGTTACAAGCGGTACAGTGTTGGCTACAAGAGGGAGACTGTTGGTTGCAACGGTACGATGTTGGCTACAAGAGGGAGACTGTTTGTTGCAACGGTACAATGTTGGTTACAAGCGGTACAATGTTGGTTACAACGGTAGAATGTTGGTTGCAACGGAACAATGTTGGTTACAAGCGGTACAATGTTGGTTACAACGGTAGAATGTTGGTTGCAACGGTAGAATGTTGGTTACCTGCGGTACAATGTAGGTTACAATGGTAGAATGTTTGTTACAACGGTAGAATGTTGGTTGCAACGGTACAATGTTGGTTAAAAGCGGTACAATGTTGGTTACAAGCGGTACAGTATTGGTTGCAACGGTACAATGTTGGTTACAAGAGGTACAATGTTGGTTACAAGCGGTACAATGTTGGTTACAAGCGGTACAATGTTGGTTACAAGCGGAACAGTGTTGGTTACAAGCGGTACAATGTTGGTTGCAACGGTACAATGTTCGCTACAAGTGGTACAATGTTGGCTACAAGAGGGAGACTGTTGGTTGCAACGGTACAATGTTGGTTACAAGCGGTACAATGTTGGTTACAACGGTAGATTGTTGGTTGCAACGGTACCTATGTTGGTTACAAGCGGTACAATGTTGGTTACAACGGTAGAATGTTGGTTGCAGCGGTAGAATGTTGGTTACCAGCGGTACAATTTTGGCTACAAGATGGAGACTGTTGGTTACAAGCGGTAGAATGTTGGTTACAAGCGGTAGAATGCCGGTAACATGCGGTAGAATGTAGGTTACATGCGGTAGAATGTAGGTTACATGCGGTAGAATGTAGGTTACAAGCGGTAGAATGTTGGCTACAAGAGGGAGACTGTTGGCTACAAGTGGTTGACTATTGGTTACACGTGGTAGACTGTTGGTTACAAGCGGTAGACTGTTGGTTGCAAGCGGTAGACTGTTGGTTACAAGTGGTACATTGTTGGTTATGTTACAGTGCATATATTTCATTACACTTTTTATATTTTTAACAAATTAAACTTAAACTGGGAAATTCTAAAATTCAAAAGTCGCTAGACCAGTATTTCTCGTTTTTATCGCCACTGGTCGACCATGACGGCTGCTCCGTGGCAAGCTCATTCATGCGAACAGTAAATTACGTAATCATAGATAAAGTCGGCGCGTACGTCCGCCCCGGCCCTTGTTCTCTTGATAAATGTTTTGTTACCAGCTGGCGCAGGTTTTGACCACCATCTTAAACTGTAATTAAAATAAACTCTTCTCAGGCAATACTGATACCATTCTATTACCACCTGCTTTTGTGTAGTCAACTTTGACAGCCCAGGGAAGATAACAGAGACCGAAATTACAACTTCAAAGTAATTGTTAATGTGATAAGAGTAGAGCTGTGGGGGTATATAACTCCTTGGGTGTTGGTCCTCAGCACACTTGCTTGAATAAACCCTAAGGACCTCACAGCTCTCTTCTCTCTTGTTTCAAGGTAAGAAACATTTAAATATTCTTATTTTATGACTAAACTTCTTATTTCATTGTTATTATTGTCTAGAAAATGTTATAGTTAAGTTGAATCAGTACTGCCATATTGTTACTCTCAATCTACTGTGTAC